TGGAGAGATGAATCTAATTATGAACCCAGAAAAGTACCGTGAGATTTTAATCCACCATCCAATACCATCTGGAAAGCATCTGATTGGCAATGGCTTCATTCTTCAGCATCACATTGATCCCAAACACACAGCCAGTGCAATAAAAACATATTTTAAAAAGACACAGGCACACAGTGGAGCACTATCAGTCATGGATCGGCCTCCTCCAGAGCCTGGACCTCAACATTATTGAGGCAGTGTGGCAATCACATTGACAAAGAACAGAACAAAAGTCAGCAAACATCCAAAGAAGATCTCTGAATGTCCTTCAAGAAGCCTGGAGAACGTTTCCTGAAGACTACTTAAAGAAGTTACAAAGAATAGAAAGTTACCTACGAGAGTTCAGGCTCATTAGAGTTGTACACACTCTCTTTTGTCTTACATCCTTTATTTCCATGTATGTCTTTACACGTTTCACTAACTTTCCCTCACATTTTTCTACCGACGGATAAAGAAATGAAGAGCGCCTCAAGCCACACGGTGCTGTGATTAATTACAAGTCATAAAACAATATCTTTTGAAAGATTCTGTTTTATGTTGCGACAGAGATGTCTTGACTTTGAGGGTTTCTGTGTCCTTTCTTCTCTATAAAAATACAGAATATTCATGTTCACGAGGCTTCAACCTCCACTTCATAAAGTTCAATGCAGACTGCTACCACTCTAATGATTTTTCTTTCACATAATTATCACACATCATCATGTGAAACTTGGGGAAACTTTCCACCTCCAGCACGTTTTAACCCTTTTGCACAAGCCTGCAGAGTTTCCAGAGCTGTCGGCTCACTCAGTCGTTATGCTGGTGGTTTATTTTTGCTTCCTTGGGGCACAGTGTGTAGTTACATCACAATGCAGCTTCTTCTACTTCTGAAATCAAGACAAAGAACGTATTGGTCACGCAGCAGTGACTGATAGGTGATCTTACTCTGTTTATTCCTGCGTAGTACTCGGCATGATCTGCTCAGTGTGAGCTTTTAATCATATGAGCAGAAGCAGAGTCATGCCAAGTCCTGTTCTGTCTTGTCATGCATGCAATTGTGGTAAATTTCCCTGTGAGGGGAATGTGCACACGCCACAGGAAGAAGAGGATAAGTGTGTCTACCTTCACTTTAGATGGATGAGTCATGAATTAGAAACGTTTTTTTGGGGGGGGAAAGCTGAGTTCAACGTTACTACACTAACCAAAAAAAATCACTTAAACAGAATCTGTCTGACAAAGTGAAGTAGGCTAAAATAATCTCAATGCAACACACCGCGCTCTGATGTAAAGAAACACCTAAGAGACAAAGTTCACTGACATCTAAAAACAGAGAGAACTTGGAACTATGCTGAACCTTCCCAGGAGTGATCAGCCTTTTAAAATTACTCCAAGAGCTCATACACGACTCTTGGATGGCTCTGAGTGGCTCAAAGTCCAAACTTAAATCAAATCGAGATGCTTTGGCATGACCTTAAAAAGGCCGTCCATGCTTAAAAAAACTCCAGTGGTGGAATTAAAACAATTCTGTGATTAAAAGTTGGCCGAAATTCCTCCACAGTGAGACACTCATTACCAGGCACTGCAAATACTTGGTAGCAGTTCTTGCTGCCTGTTGTGTGTGGTCTATTTCTTTCTGTGCATGATTGCTACCGTTTTCTTATTTAAATTTTAACACACTTTTCTTTCTTGTGCTACATTTTCTTACAGAAGTAAATCCGCTCTGTGTGGAACCAATAAAGTCTTATCTTCTGTTTGAGATGAACAGCAGATTCACATCACAGATGTGCAGCCAATAAATCTGCAGACACTGTGCGATGCTATCATCCCAGTGGACCAAAGTCTCAGAGGAATGTTTCCGGCGCCTCGTTAAATCTATGACACGAAGAGTTAAGACGGGTAGGAAGGTTAGATGGTTCAGTCCTAGCAAGGTGGACGTAAACTCAGAACAATTATCCTCTCCATGAAAATTATTATTTCCCCAAATGCTGATTTGATGGCTTTCTGCAGGCCAGTCGGTAACATTCACTTTAGTGTTGTGGAGGTAGTAATGGCCCAGAAACACGTTTTCTGCTCACTGGTTGAGGATTTCTTTGCAAAATCATGAGGAGACTTCCAGTTCCAGATTTACTTAAACATCCCCGCAACATAATACTCCCACCACCGCATTTCACTGTGCAGACGGTGTCCTTGGTGTACTTCAGTCTGGGTTGAAGGCGTCTCTCCTGCAGAAGTGGAGTTATTTTCTTGGTCTGCAACCTCGCGGTCCATTCTTGTTCAGAGCTCTGGTGACTGTCTTCTTTGAGACTACAAGTCCTGACTTGGCAGTTCTTCTGGGGTCTTTAGGGACATCTCTTACTAGTTTACCTTCCGGAGTCTTTGAGATGTTTCACTTCCTACCCATTAATAACCCAACAATAATTATTATTTTTCCTCAAGTCTAAACGGATTTCTTGTTTTTGGTATGATGCTTTCTCGGGC